TGTAACAACCCAAGCCCACCACTAACCGATATTGTTCTATTTGGGCTTTCCGATTCCCCTCAAGTTTTAAAATACATCCACTAGGGATCTCACAATCCACCCCCTGGGGGCGAGGGTCCTCGCTGGCACACCCCCGATGACTGACTCCTATACCATTTGTAATCAGTCCAAACCCACCGCTAGCAAATTGGGCTTTCCCTTCTAGACTTCCACTCAAGGTTTTAAAACGAGTACTAGAGAGGTTTCCACACCCTTATAAAGAATGCTTCGTTTCCCTCACAGACAGCCATGCGACAGGAGGTCCCGACATCAAAACCAAGTGGTCAAAGATCAGTCAAATTATCATCCAAGCAGACAAATCCTCAGGTTAAATATCAAACAGAACTACCATCAGGCACTTGTTTTACATAAATTCAATGAGTGATCATGTTTCTGTGTCAGTCAACATGAGAATTTGTCCTTTAAACATAGATTGCTGAGAGAGATCCAAGGCAATGCAGAATATGAATCATATTTCTTGCTGAATTGACAGCAACAAAAGCCTTCCTCCAAAGTCACCTAGCAGCCACAGGAAGAGATTCCTCTGATCAAGTACAAGATCCACCAGCAATACAATTATCAAATGCAGACACATATCTAAGGACAACCCAGAATTTTAAAGGGCCAATAATCCATGATTCAATTATCAATCCACCAGATTCTCATTGCAAAAGTGAAGTGGCCACGGTCAACATAACGCAAAATCAACCCATATGGGCAAAAATTAAAGAAGGCAGACAAAAGAAAGAAGAAAGAAACGAAGAGGAATACCTTCTCATCACAAGAGCGGCAAAGGGCGGCTTCGTCAGCAGCACAAAAGACGACAGCTGCAGCGCTTTCACAAGAGTCACAAAGTGTTCTCATAATTGAAGCTCCCCACTCTCATTTCCTCTCCCAACAAAATCAACCACACTAAAACTACAACAGCAACGCCTTCATATCCCCGTCCTCATCCACATACACGATGGAAAAGAAAACGAAAACAAACCCAAAAACAACTGCCCCAAATAAACCAAACCCCCACAAATCAGAAAGCAATAAGAACAAGAACAACAAGTTCCTGACCTTTCCTAGACCAAATTATAGCTCCATTAAAGATGGGCTTGACGTTTGACAACGAAAACGATGGTGGGAAATGACTAGGAAGAGAGAGAGAGAGGGAAATGAAAGCAAAGAGGATCGAAACAGAGAAAATTGAGAAATGGGGTTGGATTAGCGGGGCCTGGGGGGTAAAAGAAGATTCGAGAAGACAATTGGGCTAAGGGAAACAAGAATAAATAGGAAAAAGAGCACATGGAAGGCAATGAAGAGGGGGAAAAACGGAAGATCTTTTTGTCAAATTAGCACTTGAAACAGGGAGCGAAATGGATGGCCACAAGTTTTGTAAGAGGAAAGCGAGGAGAGTGGAGAAACGAATGGCGTTCTCCGATTATTCTCATCCACCAGTTACATATCTAACGCGGGTCCCAAGCTTTTTTGTTTGTTTATATTGCCACAACATGCTCTGGGTGAGTGGAGATTGGATGCAAATGGATGGATGAATGGGAATGGATGGTGGAGATGGGGTTTCGTTGTTAGAATACCCTCTTCTCTTTGCACGTGGTGGCACTGCCCGCGTCTTCTTCAACAATTGTTATTTGTGGTTCAAATCCATCGCGCTTTTCTCGGTCCAATCGCACTCCAAGAGCCGTGCTCTCTATTCTCCCTGTGTTCTTTGTTTTTTTTCTTCCTTAACTTCAGTTGTTTTCGTTTTCTTAAATTGAAGTTATTTGTGGGTGTTTTTTTATTAAACAAAAAGTCAATTCATCCCCTTAAACCTAAAAAAATTATACAAATTAAAAATTTGAAACTTTGATAGGGACACATTTGTGGTCATGTTTGGACATGTTACTCGTGATCCCATGTCTATTTATTATAATTTGTACATGTATGACATTTTACCAAAACGATGTCTACATCAATTAATGCTAATTTAGGTTAAAATGTAAGATAGAGGAGATACGACTAATTGTTAGCTTTTTCTACTTGGGTTGTATGCTATTAATATTGTTGTTTATTGCCTACTAACCCACACATGTTCTTAAATTTATTTAAAAAAACTTTCATTCCTAATTTCTAAGACCATTTTGCAATAGCAAAGTCTGAAGCTTGAGCATATATTGTCCGGACCACTGTAGATCCAAAATTTAGTTGGTTGACTTACTTGAGGGCAAGAGTGAGTGTCGCACAATCGCACTGAAAATTCTAAAAGAGTACAACTATAACACTAAGCTAGGTGCGTTAACACAGTGCCTAATACATGAGACACCTCTGACTGAGGTTCTTTTAGGCCAACCATGTGTACTAGCCCAAGTGCATATCACATTGTATTTAGCACGCGCATAACACCCTCCCCCATTCTAGTCTCTTTTCTATGAGGTCTATGAGGTCGAAAAGGAGTTGTTTTAAATTCTCACTTGTTGGAAGCCATTTATATGTCAAAAAATGCACATAAGTCAACAATGGAATGTCATTAGACAGTGAATATGTGATCTCCAAAAAAATTGATAATCATCTTTTTATTTGATTGTATTTTTTTCTTTCTAAAAGTCTATTTTCATAGTGCTTACTTAGTCCAGTCCAATGAAAGTTCGGGCTTAAGTGGGAGGCAAACAAGCCCAATATAAGTTTGGGCTTAGGAAAGTAACCCACTTGTATATGGGCTTCCGTAAGCTTTGGATTGAGAGAAATTTTGAGCTTATTTTTCTTAAGTCAACTTAGATGGCTTCTCAACCACATGTAATTATATTTAAGAAATATAACTAAATTTAAGAGCAATATAATACAACTAATCAAGATTACACTTTTAGAAAAAAAAAACATGCACAATATAATAATAATAATAATAATTTACAAAACTCATGGAGGGAGATAAAGAAGAATAAATAAAAAGAACGACAACAACAACAAACTGGAATTTCAACTTTTATGGAATAAAATTTTGTCGGCAATAATTAAAAAAAAGAAAAAAAGAAAAAAAGAAAAAAAGAACCAGAAAAATGATGAAATAATAAATTAATTAATAAAATGGAGGATGGTGGCAGCTCATAGCGGCGTGGGCCCTTTTCCCTTTCCTCTTTTCTCCCTTTAGGTTCACATTTTATTTCTTTAATTATTTTAATTCAACTTCAAATCTAAGCGAGAATAATTAGAATAATTTTAACTTTTAAAATATTTATGTTTCTTTAATGCCTATTTTTTAAAGAAATTAATTATTGTTTTTGTTATTATCTGCCTCCGTTACTTCCCTTAATACAAAATATTTTCGAAATAAGTTCCTATAATACTCAAATTCTAAGCGATTGACTAATATTTTTATTATTTATTTAATAGAAGATAATTTCTGAGAATTAAAATAAATAAAAAAATCAAATCAAACACTTTATAATTAAATGAAAAAAAAAAAAAAAGTAGGAGGTTTCTTTATTCTGTGTGGAAACTAATAAAAAAAGGGCAGAGAAGTGTTGGGAGTGTGGTGTCTGGCAATGCACGTGGGTGGTGTGCCTCCTTTTCCCTTTTCTTCAGTCAAAGCTGTGCCCACTCTCTCTCTATTATAACCTACCTTTTTCCTTTGCTTCCCATTTTTAAGGCCCCGACCAAAAATAACATCAAATTATTCCTAATCACACTCATTATTTAAGTATATAATTGCTCTAGTTAGACGAACACGACTCTTCACAATGGTATGATATTGTCCACTTTGAGCATAAGCTCTCATGGCTTTGCTTTGAGCTTCCCCAAAATGCCTCATACCAATGAAGAGTGTATTCTTAGATTATAAACTCATGATCATTCTCTAAATTAACCGATGTGGGACTTTCATCATCCAACAGCTGTTTCTAACTTATAAATTTTTTAGAGTTAAAAATTTATTAGATATAAAATTTAAAATGTGTATACTACGGTTGTTGTTATTATTATTATTATTATTTTTTTTTTTTTTTTGTAAAGTTTATGTTGGTACAAATAGCCCATATATTTATTTTTAAGAGACGAGATGTAACCCGATGATTAAGTTCGTATTTTTCTCATTTTTAAAACTATCACTGTTTTAATAAATGGTATGGAAAGAAGAGGGGAGCCATCAGCCAAGTATAGGGCTCCTATGGACTGAATTATTGCTATCACCATAATAAAAAAATAAAAAAATAAAAAAATAAAAAAAAACTGAAAAGAATATTATACGAACTGAACCTGAGTTAAATTTTGAAAGATAATTACTTTATAGCTTAATTTTAAATTTTCAAATATTAAATTGTATTTTTTTTTACTTTAATATAGATGACCCATTTGAACCTTTGATTTTTAATTATCAGTTTTTTTAAAAGAGAATATAGCACATTCAAAATATAAAGTTAAAAAAAAAAAAAAGTAATTTTGACCGTTTTAAAATCACTCTTATACATATTTTGAATATATAAATCTTAGGGATAAAGTTGATATTTTAAATTACTTCTAGCAAATTTTAATAGTTCAGATAAAAATAATTTTTACCAATAAATTTTAAAATCTAACTCTTTTGATATTTATTATATGAATTTAATTTTTTTATTTGATCCTAAAATTCTACCATATAAAAAATTATTAAAAATGAAGTTTAATTAGTTAATGTCATGATACAATTAAATTCAAACTTAGAAGAACCAAACATTTCACATTTCAAAAGATGGAGTTCAAATTTCAACAATAAAAGAGTTGGTTTTGAAAATTGTGTAGGATGAACTGAGTTGATCCAGATAATTCATTAAAAGAAAAAGAAAAGAAAAAATCAAAAGTGTATTTAAAAAAAGAAAAAAAAAAAGGGTTGAATGGTGAGGTGGTAAATTCAGAAAAAGCAAACAAAACCCCTTTAGCGCGGCAGTTTTAATTCGAAAAAACTAATAATAATATTATTTTAGTGGGAAAGGTTGCAGAATTTACACCTAACCCAGAAGTCGACGCCATAACCATTTCAACGCTCATCTTCCTCTCTTCTCCACCTCATAAACAATCCCATAGTCCTCCGTATGATCATAAATTTCCAGATCTAGAACATGCAGTGAAAAACGAGCGAGAGAGAGAGATTGCTCGCTTTTTCTCAAGCTTCCTTTTCAGTACCAGTACCAGTACCTCTCAGATTGTGATCTTTCTTCTCTGGATTTGACGTCCTATCAATTCACTTCCAATCAACTTTCACTGCTTTTCAATTCCTGGTTATTTACTCTTCTTTTTACTTTTCCATTTTTTTATTCTTCTTATACTTCGCCTCGTTTTTTTCATGCTCTTTCGCCTAATGTTTATGTTTCTGCTTTCGGAACTGTAACAGAGGATCGGTTCGGTGTGAATTGCTGGACGGCATTATTTCACTGCCCACTTGAAGGTATCTAAGCTGAAATCGTCGAGTTTGACTTCATGGTTTTCGATTCGGTTTGATTGCGTCACTGTAGGTATGCGGCATTGTATGATGTTTGATGCTTATCCTTGTTTTGTTCTACCAAATCTGTATTTGGTTTAGCAGGAAATTTGTGGAGCATTTCGTTTAAACCTATACTCTGGTAACTTGGTTTCTGTTTTCGGAGAAAATTCGTTTTGCCTTTTTTTTTTTTTTTTTTTTTTTTTTTTTTTTTTTTTTTTTTTTTACTTTTTGATTTCTGTTCTGGTTTTGTTTTTACTATCGAATTGAAGTCGGAACTTCCTCTGCCTCCGCGTGGCAATGAGTATTATCGAGGTTGTGAAGAATTTTTCCGAGGCTACAAACATTCCTCGAAGTTTATTGTAGAATGTTCATATATCTGAAATTAAACTTCATATACAATTATTATATGATTTGGAAAATTATTTAAAACGAATGGGGGACACATGAAGTCTTTGACAGACTGTTAAATTGGACCATTACCAGAAAACTCCAAATTGTTTATATAATACAATAAATTGATGGCCGGTTGTTTGTGATGCTAAATGTGCACATTATCTGTCGTTTTTTGCTAATAGTAAAAAAGAGACAAGGAAATTTAGGTTCATGCTTCTGATTAAACTGCTGAAGAAATTGTATGCGAATTTGCACTGACCCATGATTAGTTTGTTGGTGCAGATCATTTAGGAGGCAAGGCAGTGAGGTTCTGTCGACCCTACTGCCGCGTATGGTCCTAACAACACTTGATGCGTTGTTGTATCTAAATTGTAACAATTCGATCGGTAGAAAGTACTATGGGTAGATGAAAGAAGAGACGACGAAGAATGCTGTCTCTTTGCACACATAGATCCCTTTATGAATGGTCACAGATTCTTAGTTATTGATTGAAGTTTGCGGCTGTGAAGCCGAGAGGAGACGGCGAGAAATGGGAGCTGTCGGTGACGAAGAGCTGTCAATGGAAGAGACAAGTGGGCGTGAAGAGAGAATTTTGGTATCAGTTCGTCTGCGCCCTTTGAACGAGAAGGAGCTTTCAAGGAATGGCGTTTCGGAATGGGAATGCATTAACGAGAACACTATTATATGCAGGAATGGGCTTTCGGTTGCTGAACGCTCCATATATCCATCTGTGTATACATTTGGTACGCCGATGTCCTAGTGAAATATCAAATTGATCTACTTCTTTTTCTTCAAGTCTCAGTTCTGGGTTGTAATTTTTCAAATCGAGCATTTCCAAAACAGTGGGTGTTTGAATTGTCTCCAATTTATGGCTACAGTGAGGGGCCTGCTTTTAACTGTGATCCTGAATATTTTATTGTCGGTTCTTTTGCTCTCTCGCCGCCCTTTTCTTTTATGAACGGCTATAGACAGGGTATTCGGCTGCGGTTGCTCAACAAGGAAGGTCTATGAGGAGGGTGCGAAGGAAGTTGCTCTTTCTGTTGTCAGTGGAGTTAACTGTATGGAAGAACCAGTCCCTTTTTTCCCTCTTTGCATTCGATAATTTACATGAAATTTATATTTATCCTTTTCCCAATTCCCACTGAATTTTTTTCTACAGCAACAATTTTTGCTTATGGACAAACTAGCAGTGGGAAAACGTACACAATGAGTGGAATTACCGAGTATACCATCGCAGATATATATGAGCACATAGAGAAGGTAAGCATAAATAATGTTGGTTTGGTATAGTATTTTCCGTTTTCCTGGTCTAATTTTATTTTCCTTTTATTTTGTCAAGCACACGGAGAGGGATTTTCTTTTGAAGTTTTCTGCTATAGAGATATATAATGAATCTGTGAGGGACCTCCTTAGCCTAGACAGTACTCCTCTCAGGCTCCTGGATGATCCCGAGGTGACTAATCATATCTGACTTTCTCTCACCCTTGTATTGAGTACGTTCATTTCATGATATTTAATTTTTAAGTTGTTTTGACAGAGGGGAACCACGGTTGAGAAACTCACAGAGGAAACTTTGAGGGGCTGGAATCATTTTAAACAGCTTTTATATCTTTGCGAAGGTAGTGGCAGTTTCAAATCTTCTCCTCCTTACAGGAATAAATTTTGTTTGGTTATATGATGTTATTTGTATATTTTTTCAGCTCAGAGGCAGGTAGGGGAGACATCTTTAAATGAAGCAAGCTCCAGATCTCATCAAATTCTTAGATTGGTATCGACATTGCTGTCTTTGCTGTCGTCAATTCTTATAATTACTTAAGTAATATTGTTAACTATGTCTTCCTTCCAGACAGTTGAGAGCTCAGCTCGTGAATTTCTTGGCAATGACAAGTCTAATTCTCTCACGGCTACTGTGGTATGAGCACTATTTTCTTTATTACATTGATAAGGGATAGAATTGATTTATTTGGTGAATTAATCAAATAAAATGAAATAATTTTTGGATACAGAATTTTGTCGATCTGGCAGGAAGTGAACGTGCATCTCAGTCGTTATCAGCTGGTGCACGCCTGAAAGAAGGTTGTCACATAAATCGTAGTTTACTAACTCTTGGGACTGTTATTCGTAAGCTCAGGTACTTTGTGCAATTTTCCTCTTTCTACTTCTCTGTTAAGCATACAATGTTCTTTGTTCAGTGTTGTTTGGTGTGCATGTGATAATTGTTTGTCTAATGTCATTTCAATTGCTCCGTCCAAATGTTTTTGAGTTTTATGTAGAGTGAAGAAATTGGAACTGTTTAATCCCTCGACTTTAGAGGAGGCAGCAACTTCTCCTTTACCATCGAAATAAGGCAACTCCAACTTCCTATAGTACTTTGGAGCCGTCTCCTCCCTCCTTACCTCACTGGACCCTAGGACGCCTTGTTGAATCTTCTTTCATTTCTACTTTAAACTTCATCTAGGTTTTGATAACGTATGCCTTGTTAATCTCTTCAACAACTAGTTCAAATGCCTTTAAGCAATACGATGATACTGTTTTCCATTGCTAAAATTTTTTGCACCTCTGTTGCCAATTCCAACCTAGCTTCCACTGTTTCCATTTTGTTATCCATCTTCTCACTTGGTATCCCCAGAATAGAACTCTTATACCAATGGAGATGATACTGATTTATAGAGAGAGAGGTATGTATCACAATAAGAAAGTATAAGATTCGACTGTTTGGGAGGTTTGGCACATCTCCCCTTCATAGAAGTCATTTCTTTGATGCCCCTGTGAGTGAAAACCTTCCATAGTTAGATTATATCCTCTTCTCGGCACACAGAATAATTTTTATTAGCATGTCAGAGGAAGGTGGGGGCTCGTTTAAGATCTATGCAATGTACAAGGGTGAAATTTAGATGTTTAAGAAGTATAGGTAAGAAAATAGAATCTGTAGCAAGTAGGGGGACCTAATAGTATTTTAACCTGGTATTTTTATCAGCTCCTTACATTTTCATCTTATATTTTGGTTCTCACTGACATGTAAAGTCTTTGTTGGATGCAGTAAGGGAAGAAATGGACATATTCCTTTCAGGGATTCAAAGTTAACTCGTATATTGCAATCTTCCTTGGGAGGCAATGCCAGAACTGCCATCATATGTACCATGAGCCCTGCTCAAATCCATGTTGAGCAATCAAGAAATACACTCTTTTTTGCAAGTTGTGCTAAAGAAGTTGTAACTAATGCTCAGGTGAATGTAGTTGTGTCCGATAAGGCTCTAGTAAAACAATTGCAAAGAGAATTGGCAAGGTTGGAAAGTGAGTTAAAAAGCTGTGGACAAGCTTCTGTATCACCCGATTCTACATTAATTAGAGAAAAAGATATCCAGATTGAAAAGGTAATATTTAGTTGTCTTTCATATTTTATATGATTCGACACTGAATAATGACTTCTCATTTTGTAACTTCATAATTGGTTTAGCAGACAGTGGATAATTTTAATTCATATGCTAGTTTGCACTCTATTAAACTACATCGATTATATGGAGCAAGTGATATACATATATCTCCCTTTAAAAATTATATTAGTAGAAACAGACTTGGTACTATAGCTCTCTCATGTTACTGAATCGCCAATACTTGGTTATTGCTATTTTTTCAAGGTCGGGCCTTTTGCACAGTAAGAAAAATACACTCTGTAGTCCATAAAACCAAATTGAAACAGGAATGACTATGTTCTATGGTCAGAAGTGTCCAACTTTTTCCTCGAGCATAATAAGATATACTGAAATTAATATGGACCGAGGTGTCTTAGTAATGCCAAGGGCTTCAAGACAATTGCTAGGATTTAGCCCACATGCTATCCAGGATGACACAAAATAGAGGGACTAAGATACCTCGGTTCATATCAGAAATTATATGGTTGGGTTTGGATTTAAATTTTTTATCTCCCCTCTATTGATATGCTTTGTGTCCTTTGGAATGCTTCCTTAACTTTTACTTTCTTGGAGGGCATTAGATTGTTCTATCAAGATTGGTACTTAATCTAAATTATTCCTTCTCTTCCTTATTTGCCTCATCATGCAGCTAAAGAAGGACTTAAGAGAACTTACCTTGGAACGAGACTATGCTCAATCTCAGGTTAAGGATCTGCTTAAAATGGTCGAAGAGGACAAACCTTTAATTTCATCGGTATGTCATTTTACATTTTGAAGAAAGCCTGCTCTTATGCTATAATAAAACGAAGTATTGGATGTTTAGTTATTTGCATCTTCTTTCAGACAGAATCAGATGATCAATACCCTAAATTACGGGCACGGTCTTCATGGAACTTCGAGAATCGCCCATCTGAGACAACAGTAATGACAGATTCTCGAATCCTTGGTGATGTTTCTGGATCTTTTGATCCATCTCAATATTCAGGTGCTAATAGCAGGTCTGATGATAATTTTATGCATCTTGTCGAAGTTGAAAAGAATTTTCTGCAAGGTAAATCCTCTCCACGAGTATCGTCAATGGTTCCCTTTCGGGTTGATGCTCAACAGCACATGGAGGTAGAAGAACTGTCCTGTGATAACTCTGAGGATATATGCAAGGAAGTTCGATGTATTGAGATGGAAGAATCAAGTGTGAATGGATACTTAGTTTCTACCATGCCAGGTTCTAGCCCAGAAAGATATATTGATTCGACCACACCCTCTCCACTAGCAAACACAACCACCTCAAAAGTAGCTGATAATGGGCAAAGTAAAAACTGTAAATTAAAATCATCCCCTTCAGGAGAAGATATCAATTCCAACAACTTCAGTCCCTTCTATGTAGTCCAATCCCCAGAGACACCTTCGCCATGGGTGCTGGAGAAAGATATCTGTTGCTCTGGAGGGTTAAAGTTAACTAGGAGTAAAAGTTGTATAACTAGTCTTACAAGAAGCTTATCTACAGAGAACATCAAGGAAATCCAGGGCACACCACCAATTTGGAATGGAAAATACTTCATAGGGAGACCTGAGGGTTTCCAAATAAAACTTGCTGCATTGAAATATGATGTTGAGAATGAGAGGTCGTCAGTAACTTGTTCTCAAACTTCCCAGAAGAGTGCTTCTAAGGATGCGGTTAGTGAACAGAATATTGATGTGTTAGAAGATGACAAAAGTGATATAACTACTTCGGCTACAGAGGTAGAACATGACCAGATATCCAAAGTTGAAAGCGAAAATAAACTTCTTGATACAGCAAAGCAGATGTCCAACCTGGAAACTGAAAATTGTCTTCTTGATGCAACAGTGAGTACTCTTTTGGTAAATGTGCCTTTTATAACATACTAATTTATGGATGCTAAATTTTTGTTCCCTGAGAGTTACAAGTCATTGATACAGTCCAGGCCTGTATACAACTAAAAGCTTGAGAAACTTAAAATAATGACCGGATCAGTTTCCTTTCTTGTTTGTTTCCGAATATGAGTGCCTTCTTTTTTTTTTGGAGGTGTTTTGTTTAACATGTTTGTCTTGTATTCTAGGTGCCTGGGGCTAAACCAAAGCCAATTGAATCTGAGAAAAATGTGGAAGATCTCGGCATGGTTCCAACCCAAAGTGACAGGATAAGTCCTTCAAAATGGCCTTCGGAATTCAAAAGGCTTCAAAAAGACATCATTGAATTGTGGCATACTTGTTACGTCTCATTGGTGCATAGAACCTATTTTTACCTTCTATTTAAAGGTGGCGATCCAGCTGATTCTATTTACATGGAGGTAGAGTTCAGAAGACTATCTTTCCTCAAACACACATTTTCTCAGGGAAATCGAACCGTAGAAAATGGCCAAACACAACCAGCATTGAGGTAAGCTCGATATAATTTCAATCTATATAAGTTTCCCATTTTTATTTTCTGTTTTCTTTTTTCTATTAAGCTTATGAACACTACCTTTGAAATTCTTCATTTTTCTATCTACTTCTACTCATGTTTTCAAAAACCAATCCAACCGACCCAAGTTCCTTAATTTCATCATAATCCACCTCTGTAATTGATAAGAAAAATGGAATCCCTCCTATGATCAGTCTGAAGGCCCTTCGCGGTGAGAGGCAAATGTTGTGCAGACAAATGCAGAAGAGGCTCTCCAAGAAACAAAGAGAGGCCCTGTTTGTGGAATGGGGCATCGGATTGAATTCTAACAATCGGAGGCTGCAATTGGCGCACCTTCTGTGGAATGATGCAAAAGATATGGATCACGTAAGAAGGAGCGCAGCCATTGTTGCACAACTTGTTAACTACGTAGAACCAGATGAGGCTTCCAGAGAGATGTTTGGCCTCAATTTCGCTCCACGGCCCGATGCTCGAGGGATCACATCGTTGGAAACAAAGAATGATGGCTGCCTTCTGATGTAATCCTCTCGCTAATTATTGTACAGATTATATAGCAATTGGGGTAGTTTCTTTTCTTGCTCGATCTCTCTGACTATTAACTTTAACTGTAAGGATTATTTGAACTTATGAAGTTGCTAAAGGAATGTGCCACTGCTATTCTTCGATTTTTTGAGTGTCCAGAAAGAACATGCAGTAATTTTTTCAGAATGAAAATTTGTAGTCGTGCAATGTAGAAACATTGGTAGCTTTTCTTGGGTTTAGATCATAAGTCGAAAAGAAGCAAATGATTATTTCATTTCCAGGGTTTTGGCCAGTTGTAGATCTGTTCGTCTGGGCTATGTTGGGTAGGAGTGAAGTGAGATTTAATTGGATGGAATCAAAAGTTTGGAGGTGAAATTTCATCTTTTCCTCTTAAAACTATCATATGGACTAAACATCCATAACTGGGTTGATCGGTTTGATCCTAACTAATAGGTAGCAGAGTCAGTTTTGCCAACATTGCGAAATAAAAACGCACATCATATTGCTGATTGAACGACTACCTTACTATTTAGTGTATTTTCAAAATCTTTCATCAACCTCTAAATTTAAATTTAAATTTGATAAATTGGTCCATGTAAACTTATATAAAACAGAAATAACGCTATCGTTTGCATTAAGCCATAACGCTATCGTTTACATTTACCCAAAACTCTATTTCAATCCTAAATCAAGAAAATAACTTAAATTCCATACTTAATTTCAATCTTCAATGCTGGCTTGAATATAATACTCGAACAAATGTTATTATTTTAGTCTAGACTTATTATTTATTTTTGTCATTATCCGTATCTAATCTCAACGTTGGATGTTTTCTAAAATTTAAAATTCAAACAATTGTTATTCAATTATTATAGCGCTTAATGATTGTCTCAACTTAAAATACATACCTACGTGTCACCTTATTCAAAATCAAATTAAAGTAATGAAAATAATGATAATAAATATTAAACTGGTCACAAATCAACAAAATAATATATACCATCTTTAAATTTATTTCCAATGGATAATTTTTTTTAAAAAAAATGCTTGTGTTTAAATGGTCAAAAATGTTGAATTTTTATTTTTCAGAAAAAACGTTGAATTTCTATTTTTTTTCCTGCTATTTTTCTATTATTCTTCATCGTTTTGCAGCCCATCCATACATAAATAAATGTCTTATACCCAATGGACAAAATAGAAATAATAATAATAATGATAATAAATAAATAAATAAATACGGCTAGTTTTGGTTCATTAAAATTTGAAGCGAACTACAAATTTAGTAGTTCATTTTTTCTTTTGTGTTTATTTGATTTGTAAATTTTAATAAATGTCTAAATAAAATTATAAAATTTAAATTTTTTTAAAAACTCATTGAATTCTTTTATTTATGTCTCACTAACTATTTTTTTTTTTAATTAACGGAAGGATTTAATGTAAAATTGAATAAGACTTTCATTTTCGTATTTAGTAAATTGGTAAATTTTATTATTAATTTTTTTTTCCTAAACTCATTTACATAAAATTAATTTTATTTAATAACATTTTTTAAAAGTTATTTCAAACTTCATAAATTTTAATATAAAAATATTAGTTGTTATCATTTGAAATTTGAAATAACATTAGAATATACATACTGAAAAAAATATTATACATGGATTTTGAAAATAAGATTTTAAGAATTACAATTATTAAATTTTCAAATTTTTTTTATAATAAAGTTTAGGAATTANAAACTCAAAAAAAAAAAAAAAAAAAATATTTGGAATAATTCAAGTGGATAGAATGAGTATCCATATAATTCTTAATATATTATTATTAATATTATTGAAATATAATTCTTTCTAGTATCTTATTCTTATCTAAAGAGATTGCATTGAATTTGATGTAACCTGTTCTACCAACTCAATTGGCTTCGATTTTGAAATTTCCGCTGCGTGGTTGACCGTCTTCCCCTTCTGTGTAATCCCTCCACCCTAAAACCTCTATTTTTTTTTTTTTTTTTTCGACTTCGATAATTATTTCGGCCTAATTCAGTTCTTTGAAGTTTTTTCGAGGAAATTTTTGGCGCCGTTTTAGCTTCTTTGAAGATCCTGGAAGTGTAGCCATGGCTATGCAGCAGCAACATCTTGATAAGATGCAACTCCGCCAGAGCTATCGTAATCTCTGGCATACTGACCTAATTCATACAATTCAGGCTGACACTCCCTGTACGTTCTTGCGTTCTTCCATCTCTCTTTGCTTTTGTTGCATGTTTGTGTTGATCTTTGTCTGAATTTTTTTGATTTCTGATGAGGTTTAATGTTTGCTTGCAGATTGCTGCCTTGCCTTGTGGTGGTGAGTTGGATGCTTGTTTTTTTGCCTTTTATCATGTTTCTTTTACTTCTGCATCGACTTTACTCATGGATCTGTTTTAGTCGCCTACATTTTTAATTTTTAATTTTTTTTATCTGTGTTTATTGATCTATTTGATTGCTCTTCTGATTGAGGACTTTGGCTTGTCTCTGCTCCTTGTTATTCTGGTGATGTATTTTTCTTGCATGTGCTCTTCCGAGATCTTGACTTCTTAGATGTGGAGACGTTGACTCGTTTTGATTTTGCGTTGACTTGGCTGTTCTTATTAAATTTGATATTGTTTCTGAAATCTGATTGATAAATTGTGCTGGTTTTGAGTACACTGATGGAGATGGCAAAACAATGATTAGATTTATCAGACAAACTAAACAACACGACTCATTAGTTATGCAGTTCAGAACCAATATCATAGAATCAACGTCAAATTGAATTTAGTGACGTCCAACAAAGATCATTCTATTAGCTTTGGATGAATCCTTTATAGGAATTATAGTTGTGTTTTCTTTTCAACTAGTTTAAGGTGTCGGTGGTGCCATTGGAGATTATCCATCTTCTTTGTTTCCTCTGCGCATTTCATTCCTATGAGGCTTTCTCAAAGGTAGCGAGGATCGAGCAAGGTTGCTTTATGAAGGAAGGCATTGGCTATTAAGATATTTTTACCTTACTACTTGTGGTAGTTTAAGGTTTGTGGTCATACAATGGTTAGGAAGATGGATTTAGAGGAAGATACTGTCGAAGTTAAAGATAATTGCTGTGGGTTCATATTAGCAGAGGTGGAGTTGTGGCCGTCTCTGGTGTTCACAAAATTTTCCAAGTGGTGGCTATGCCTGTGGCTCATTCTAATTCCCCATGGTTAATCAATAGAAATCCTAAATTCTATAGTACTTTTACACAAAAGGATGCTGTAACCTTCTTACCCAAATGGTATTACTCCAAGTTTTGTGGTTCTCCCGTTCTTCACATTATGTCTGCTTTGTTTGTATTAGTCCAAGTTTTATGGTTTCCTGTTTTTGAATTTAAGTTTACTTTGTTTGTATTGGGCCATTGACTGAAAGGATAGGACTGTACCTTATCCAGCATGAATCATTATATAAGGAATTACCTTAATAATTGCTGATGATCTTTCCCATGTGGACCTTCCACTCCTTGATGGAAGATTAAAAGTATGTATGGCTTAGAGAGGAGCGTGGCTCAGCAAGAAATCACGTGTTTGCTAATTGCTTTCAATTATCATCAATAGATTGTGACAGCTAATTTTTAAAAGCCAAAACATTGAGTTCATGTAGTCACTTCATTCCTTTTCTCTTGCAGTGGACCTTGTGTATCGTATTTGCTTCGTAAAAGAGCTCTATATAATGACATGTCAAGGTAATTAATTTTGTTTTCTCGACTTCCTAAAGAGTTGGAAAGTAATTCGATTTTGTTGAGTCATTTTCTTGATTTCTTTTTGTATAGGTATGTCTGTTGTGCAGGCTATATGCCTTGCAGTGGCCGGTGTGGAGAAAGTAAATGCCCTGAATTTTGCCTTTGCACAGAGGTACGACATTTTTTAGTTGTAATATTTTTATTTATCGAGTACCAGTTACTTATTTATCAAGTTCGCTATACTCCAAAAGCAGAGATATTTTGATTAAATATTTAAATTCCCCTGTACATCAAGTTGCAGATGTGTTTGATCTTGGGTTTAGTGTTTTACGTCTAGAGGTTGAGGAAGAACATCTCTTTTTGAATAGCATATCTATGTTTGATTTGTATAATAAATACTCCAAATTTATTCTCACATTCAGCCCTGCCGCAGTTAACACCTGTTTATTTGATTGATCTTCAAGGTTTTCCTCTGCTTTGGGAATTCAGTGGCCTCAACTCGATTCTTGTTGCAAGACGAATTCAACATACAGACAACAAAATGTGACAATTGTATTATCGTATGTCGTGCTACCAGCTTCTTCTCTCAAGTTCCTTCAATAATTCGTTGTGTCCTTATTTATGTGTTCTCAAATTATTCAGGGTTTTATGTTCTGTCTACAACAAATAGCATGTATATTTTCCATCGTTGCACTGATAGTAGGAAGTGAAGAAATTCAAGAAGCTTCTCAGCTTCTGTCTTGCTTGGCTGATATGGTTTATTGCTCGTAAGATTGCCCTTCCAAATCTCGCGTATCATTTATTTTCTGCTGCTTTTTCTAAGCTACTAATAACAACTCTTCTTTCAACAGGGTTTGCGCATGTATGCAGGTAAGGAGTGAAAGGATGCTTCAGGTATCAAAATTTAAATGAATAATCATTAATTTTTGGGGTGATTTGCAGACCCAACACAAGATTGAGATGGACAAGAGAGATGGCATGTTTGGACCGCAAGTAATGGCAGTGCCTCCTTTTCAACAGATGTCTCGGATCGATCAAGCAATTCCTCCCTCAGTTGGACATGCACCACAGCCTGCATATGGACAACCCTATCCAGCTCAAGGCTATCCAGCTCCGGGCTATCCACAATCATCTTATGGCCCCTCTGGACATAACTACTAGTAATCTCTGCACTCTTCCCCAGGTACCAGTCATTCATTGTGATTTGTCCATGCCATGTTCATCCTTCTGTGAATTTCATTCGAGTTTATCGCTCTTACATGTACGTGTCGATTTGTATAATGATCAATACAGGGTATATTTTGTGAAGTGGTTAAGAATGATTTGGATGTGTTAAATTTCTGTAAATTGGAACTTTATTTGGAAAAATGAAAGTATTTTTCATTTCTCCTTGTTTTCATGGTTGAGAGAAGTACATGCTTGAAAATATTAGTGTCAATTCAAATCTAGACCATCTAAGATAAGTTATTAATAAATTAACCTGTAATTTCATTTTACAATCTTTCTGAACAGAGGATGTGTTAATTCTTTCATTCTCATGAATTTATGTTCACATTTATTTTAATAACATTAATGCCAGGTTGTTCTTGTTGGGAGATGCAATAATTGGGCAAAAAATAAAGTAATCAATAATTATTGAATTCCTGACATTATGAATTATCTTTCAGCAAATGCATGAATTCAATTTGAAAAGAGACGACAGTGTAAAGTGGCCATGCTGTTATTTCAGAGTGCGAACCATAGCTATAAGTATCTATTTTGCACGTCTAATTATCTTAACATTTGGAAGCTACTGCTCAACTCATAATTAGTCTCAAAATAACGTGTTGTTTGAATATGTAATCGACTCTAGAATTCTAGAATTGGGATATCGGGAAAGAGGGTGGACCGATGAGGAAAGCCCTTGTTTGATTTGATATCCTCTAGGCTTGGCTTATGTTTTTTAACTGCTTCATACCGAATTATGGGAAGAGTTTGTACCCCTTTTGGCATTTAAGTTCTCATACTCTTAACCTCGAGTTAGAACAAGAACGGTAGCGAAATCTAATTGCTTAACTCATTTGAATTTAAATAAATAATAACAATAATGTATTGTTGAGAGAACACAAAATGTGTATATTTAATTTCAATACCGTCCATGATAAACTCCAATACACATACTCTGTTGTAAATGATTAGATAGCAAAAAGAAAAAACATACATCAGTACACCCATTTGAAATCACTATCCCTAATTCTCTAACCTTTGTTCAAATAGAAATCTTGAAAGCTAAGAACAAAAATAAAATAAGCCCATAAATTCAGAGAAGACTTGTGTTGTAATGTTACAACTCCAGAAAGCCGCCACTTTTAGAAGAAGCAGTTGGAGTCGCATTGGCGGTGGTGGTCGACAAACTCCATTGATCTGAAAACGCCATTGACGACGAGAAACTGCTGCTTGTGCTTGTGCTCGTGCTCGTGCTTCCACATTTAGCCACAGTTCTAACGTTCTCTATCAATTCTTGAGTGTGCCCTTCCTCCTCCAATATCTCCACCAACCGCTTCGGACTAATCACCAATTTCACCTTCCAAACCCCACCGTTCTTCTCACTGCACCTCGAAAACACCTCAGTCTGCGACCTCCTCAATGCCCCCTGGTAATCGAACGACATCCTGTACGGTGCCATCGCGATCGCCGCCGTCTCCTCCGGCACGCTGTTTGACCTCACGTGCCCCTCCCGCGCTCTTATCATCCCCATCTCCCCCTCTCCCCTGTTTCTCGGAAGCAAATAATACGATTTTCCCGTCAGAAGCTCCTCGTCGTGCGGCAGTGGGTTCCAGAAAAGGTCGTGGCTTTTGAATATTCCGTAGCCGGGAAACTCATCGGCGATACATCCGACGGTGATCGGAGAACCCAACTCCATAATCCCGCCGTTGGATGTGATAACTTTGATTTTGCCCTGAATCTCCCCCGACCTTCCGCCAAACAAACAATTACCCATGTCGTTGGAAAAAAAGAACAGAGGAGCTCTGCTCCACTCTGTTCCCACTCTGTTCTGTACGATTGAATGAAGCTTTTTCTTTTTGGGTGATAAATTCAAGGAACGGAGAAGAATTGGGAAAAGGGTTGTCGGTGGGGAATGTTATCTCTTTTTGGAAAATGAATGGTGATTGATTTATACAGCTAAGACAAGGAGTAGGGGCTGTAGGGATTAGGGCAGTGGAAACAAAAAGAAGGATTTCAAAAGATAAAGGAACTGGAAGAATAACAAGCGGGATTCGTTGATTGGAGAGCAGAGGCAGATCAGAGCAGAGAAGTGAGGAATAGCGTCGCCTAACTTTATAGTACCATGCCTGGATTTGTCCAACTGCTTCTTCTTCATCTTCATACGCCCAATTTTTTCCTAATTTAATTCTCTTATCCCTAACTGTTTCATGAATTATTTATTTCTTTATTTGACTGCTCCTTGCCTTGTCTGTTATATATATATATATTATATATAGACATAGATACGCTTGAGTTCAAGATAAAAATTCAAACTTCAAGTTTTTATTAGACAACCTAAAAAGAATAATTTTCTATTCAATTGAGATGCCAAAGAGATTTAATCATTTAAACAGAGGGTATCAAAAAACTAAAAGGTATAATTTTGTGTGTGGAATCCCTAACATGGCATCTATTGAAAATCAATGAGAAACGGTATAAGGATGAGGAACAAAATGAGGAAGTCATCTTTATTTGCACTTTTTCCCCTTCACACTCCCATTTAATACACACCTCGTTAAAAATGGCAAAAACGCATATAGCTTTTCTAAGTTTGATATCAAATTTTGATTCATGAAAGTTGATACATTGCACCATTGATATTTGAGTTCAATACATGCATGTTCATAATTGTAGAAGCCAAAATAGTTTTTTTAGGTTTAATAATAAGCTTAGTTCATGCAATTTGACTTTGTGTCAATTACATCTCTAATTTTCAAAAACGATCTAATACTTTTATAAACTATTATATTATATTTTACTTTACGAATTCTTGAAATTTAAATGAGGTTTGATACTACTAAATTTTCATAATTCATAATTTTTTTTTCTTAATTAAGATTTATTTGAATTTTAAAATGGTTAGTGAAATTTAAAATAAACATGTTTTGAGTTTTGGATGTCCGGTAAAAGCGGCCCTAATGTTTAAACTCTGAACTCTTCTAAAGTGCTTTATGATCAAATGCTTAAATCCCTGCGTAAACACTTTGTTTTTTCAGCGTCTTTGAATATTAAAGTACTTTTAAGGCACTCCATGATTCGCGGGGAGTGCTTTAGCCTTTGAGATAGCCTTGTGATCCACGCACCACTGTGGCCTGCTGTAACAAGTACACAAATTTATGCCCACATTTCACCACCCCAACTCATATGAAGCTGGTACCAGCTGATAGACGGAAGAACTCAATTCTGAGACTTTAACACGCTTAATCAATCATTAGTAGATATTGTTCAATAAAGTCCGTGTCACATCAAAACAAAAGGGAAAAAAAGACTTCACAACACCAATAGTAAAGAAAACAGTTGCCTCACCTTGCGCACCCAGTGGACTACCATGGCTCCTGTTGTTGGGCATTCTGCCAAAGTTGTAGCAGCGACAAACATGTTCTCCCATTTTGACCCACATCTCTCTGAGTTGCATTCTATCCCATATTGGTTGGATAAGGGAACGAAACATTATTTGTAAGGGTATAGAAACTTCTTGGTAATAGACACATTTTAAAGGAAAACTTGAAAGAAAGTCTAAAAAAGACAATATCTGCTAGTAGTGAGTTTGAGCGGTTCTCAAAGCTGATAGAACCATGTAAAACAGTAAACAGTGATCATTTGGAACGAAATGAATCTAGTATTCAATTGGTAAGCAAAGAGCTGCATGTGAATTCTGAACAATATTTGTCTTCAATACTCAGTTTAAAACAAAAATTCAATCCACTCTACTATTGCTTGAAAGAACGAACTAAAAACTCAAAAGAGGAGCAATGAAGATCATAAGCTCACCAAGAACATCAACAATTCTGGGTGTCCCCAAAATCTCAGACAAAATCGAAACCAATGCCACACGAATGGATTAAAAAAAAAGGTGGGTTCTACTCCAAATTGATTCCAATGATTGCAAAAAGCTGTAGAGGAGTATAAAAATCAAGATAGAAACACTAAAAAAAGGATACCAATAACACATTTTGAACATAGTTTATACAAAGCTGACACTAAAATTGTCGTAAGGCCACAACAAACTTCACTCATTTTAATGAACTTTTCATTTCTTTTAATTAATTTTTAACACCAAACTTTTATATTAATTAAAAACAACCATCTCTAAACTATTCAAATATACATAAAAATTTAACCTTTCAAACCCATAAACAATATTGAACTAATGTGACAAGGTAAATTTGTGATTTCTCTACCGTAAATTGAATAAATGAGTTGAATTGATTAAACTGATTAAATTTTGACTTTCGATCGTGGTTAGATCCACCGAAGTTTGGACTTGGGTCGACATTTGAACTTCTGCCCTGATACTTTTCATGTAGTATCCATTCAAACTTAAATATCAACTAAAACTTATCGATCAATATTATTTAAATTTAATATTCATACTTCAAAATTAAGCATTAAATGCTCACTCCATAAAAAGTTCAACGATAAATCCAGACTTTTGAGTGGGTAAATAATGTAAAGGGTAAATTTGGACAAAAGAATTAAAGTATTAATAGGTCAAACTCTGAAATTATTCGTGTAGTGAGAATTCAAATGTAGTAGAGGAGGCTCATATGAAATATTGTTATTATTTTTTTTTTTTTTACTTTTTTACTTTTTACAGTGGGCTCAATGGTGAATGTTACATGAGGATGAAACTTTAATAGTGGGCCTAGTAAAAGACTATGACAAACAATGGCAAAAGCAATCATAAAAGGATGTCAAATGCTACTATTGTCATAAGAATGGTAGAGACATTACACATAAAAGTGCAAGAGTACACATACAAGTAAGAGGCAAACAAATTACTCGGTAAACCCATCAAGTTTGAGCTCAATCCTAATTGAGTTGAGGTGTTTTCTAGTCATTAACGAGACTCATTCTCCCATGTTATATACGAATACGACAAGAGGGGATGGTGGAGTCTAATTGGTGCTAGTACTACAAAAAGTTTCGATCTTAATGTTCTGACTACTGTTGTGCAACCTCTGAGCTGCCCGTCGTTCGAATTACTACTTCTATCTTCCCTTTCGATAGCATACTCAGCTCATTTCCCAATAATAATAATAATTAAGTTTAAGTATACTAGTGTTGGAAATAAGAGAACATCATCATAAGTTTCCTTGTCTGCTAGATTGGTGAAGTCTGGTGAGATTAAAAGCTTAGTCACAAAATTGGTAGGTTATAAAATCGCACGACAAGATTGAAACTAATACAAATAGCAGGAGGATAATCGGCTAGAGCTGCAGCTCGAATCCGGAGTCAGCCAGCCGAGACTGTCAGGCTCAGAGGAAGCCGCTAGCGGGAATAGCCGTGAAGCCGGTATTCAAAAAGCGTGGCCGTACGGCACATGGCAGGCTGGCAGGTCGCTTCCTTGGCAGTTAGCAAGCATTTAGTGTGTGCGCTCCTCTTTCTTCCACTCTCTCTCTCTCTCTCTTCGCCTCTTTTCCATTTTGCACATTTCAATGCTTCCTTCCTTCCTCTTACACTACACCTCTGTTTCTTCTTTGTCCCTTTGATCACTCACTCACTCCCTTCGCCCCATTTCTTCTGAAATTCCCATCTCTTCTTCCCTTCTAAATCTTCTCTCGTTTTCCTGTTTCTCATCTTCCAATCCCCCTCATTCTGCTTCCATTCGAGGTATTGTAATCGAATCCCTCTGCATTTATTGCTGTATTGTAATGTTTCCCTTCTCTGCTTCTGTTTGTTTGGTGAACTCAGAGTGATTTGCCTGTTTTAATGGGGGTTTTCATTGTCAGTGCGCTTAAATCAAACACTAATTACGATTCTGTTTCTTTCTTTTTCTTGGGTTTTTTTCATTGATGATTGTTTGTTCCCTGAAAACCCAAATTGAATGTGTTCTTCAAATGGGCATTTCTCGTTTACCTTATATTCTGCAATTTCCAAATGTAATATCGGTTTTCAGTTGACTTTGATGAGATATGCTTTCTTGACTTATTGACTGTTGTCTAGGAAGATGCTGCGAAGGTTTTATTTATTTAATTTTCGAATTAGTAATTGGAGATTTTCATTCGATTCTGCGCAGAGATTGAATGATTTTCTTTTCCTTTGAAATTTTAGCTAATAAATTGAATGCTGGATTCTGTTTTTCCCCTTTTCTCTAAGCTTAGGAATTAAAAACATCATTTTCATCTATTCTGTCAGAAACACATATGTTCCATATTTTCATCGAGCTTCTTACTGTTTACGTTCTTAGCTTGTCTTTTGGAAATATTAAGAATTGTATGATTTATTCATATGGGAAGGAAATGTAAAAGCTGTTGGAACAATCAAACTTGCAAATCCATAGAAAATTCTCCAGTTCGTCTACGATCTATTTGCTCCAAATTGATATTTGGCTGTTGGGCATCAATGAAATGAGGATATGATGTCATCATGTCACTTCTACTCGAGAGAATTCAAGGAAGAGCCTATTTATGAGCACCAAGCTTATCCTGTCTTGCCGTGGTTCATTTATTATCAGCACAATGTGCCCGTGAAGTATAGATATATTTACTACGCTTCTCCCATGCTAGAGCCATTTATCATTTCCTGATCTTGTTCGTGTAAACTACAGGTACTGCCACTCTTCTATAATCCCTCTTCCCCTTTTCCTGATACTGTTCTGCTTTTGTCTTTTACTACATATAATATAATATTCTTCAGGACTTCTTAATGGAGTTCAACATCTCTGAAGTTAGATTCCACTGACACAAACAAAATTCATAATGGCCTACTGATCAGCAAAAGAGGGTTGCTGCTTATTATTGCTCGAGTTGAGCATGAATTCTTGCACTATATGTGGGTCACAGGGCTTCGGGGTATTTGGCTGCAATCTTGAAGTCTTCTGAACTTGTGTTGTTGTTTTGGTTAGGTTCTATTTGAGAAAAGACTTTTGAAAAACTTTCAAAGAAGGGTTCAAAGAATGCTGGAACCGGAGTTTTGTGCTTCTAGAATTCAGTCTCCTTTTCGTGAGGAGAGTTGGGATGAAGAGCTTTCAGTTCTTCCAAGGCACACTAAAGTTATTGTCACTGGAAATAACAGAACAAAGTCTGTTTTACTGGGATTGCAAGGCGTAGTTAAGAAGGCTGTTGGCCTTGGAGGCTGGCACTGGCTGGTATTCTCTTTTTCATCCTGTCTTTTCCCTTTGTTCTTCATCTCTTATTTACCCTCTGTATTATGCATTTTTCTATCTGGCCATTTGCTTACTTGTCGTGAAAGTTACACCAAAAGTCATGACAATAACCAACTATGATTGGAGAAATGCTATTATTTTGTTTTAGCTCCTACGTTTCTAAGCTAGAAGCCTGTAATCAGAAGGAATTTATGACTCCACTTGATAAGTTTTCAGTTCTTAAAAATTGTGCTTGCTTCTAATCTCCTTTAATAACACATTTGAGTTCTTAGAAAGTTCCAAAAACAAAAACTTTCGTTTCCATTTTCAAATTTTAGCTTAGATTTCTTATAGTATATAAGACGATTATCTGCGGCTGTTTCAATTTATCTCTGTGAATTTTGATTAAAGGCTTTGGAGATGATTAGCTGTATCGTTGGAATGTTCCGACAAGACTCCGCTTAACAGTCTCTTGCATGACTCTTTTCCCGTGCAAAAGAAGGAAACTAGTTACCTTACCTCTGTTTGATTATTTAATGAATTCACTTCATTCGTTAACTCATGATCCTTAGTAGTATGCTAAATTAGATTTTGACTATAAAGGAGTTTGATTTTTGCTGTGATGGACTGTTTCCATGTAAGGTTTTGAAAAATGGGGTTGAAGTGAAGCTGCAAAGGAATGCACTGAGTGTGCTGGAACATCCCACAGGAAACAAAAATGATGATCATGATTTGGACAACTCAAGTTGTAGCTCCGACATGGGTGAGAAGGACAATGATCTGTGTAAGTCGCATTTTCATGTTGCCAAATGATGGACATGGACCGACCTCCATGTTCCCAAATCGTTTCTGTTCCCTTCTTAAAGTGGATTTTATTTAGCTTGAATTGTGTGGGAGACTTAAAGTGTCACCGTTCATGGGCAGCTAGCAGCATTGTTTTCCACAAACTTAGCAAACAAAAAGTGAGGCAAATTAGGCCATGGGCTCCATCTTCATCGGCAAAGCCAACAGGTCGGGGCAGCTGTGGGGAAATTCAATCTTTTCACATGCCGAAGCTGGTCACGGTGAGAAATTTGGAAACCATTGATTTTCTTTTTTTGTTTTCTTTTTTTGATATCCATCGAGTGCCCAAACAAATATTTGGTTGTCAAGACCGTAGGAGTTTCATATAACCCTTCAGATCTGAAAATTGGATAGAAAATCTTAAGATTTGTACTTTTTAGGGGTAAAATTCATTTGAATTTATTTTCTACTTATAGTACCCTTTCAGGACTCAATGTCTTAGCTGACACTCGTTCCTCTCTCCAATCTATGTGAGATCTCATAATCCACCCCCTCGAAGCCCAACATCCTCGTTGCCACATTGTCTAGTTTCTGCCTCTAATACCATTTGTAATGGCCCAAGCTTACCGCTAACAGATATTGTCCTCTTTAGGCTTTCACTTCCGAGCTTCCTCTCAAGGTTTTTGAAACGTGTTTGCTAGGGAGAGATTTCACACCCTTGTAAGAATATTTTGTTCTTCCACCGATGTGAGATCTTACCGTCTTTGAGTAGAATTAATAATTAGTTGACTTAACGGAATAATGACGTAGTTAAAGACTACTTTTTATACGTTGGTACCAAGTAGAAACAAATTGCAAACTTGATGGACCAATTAGAAACAATTATTCAAACCTCGAGAATATGATTTTAGGCTCATGGGCTGTTTTTCTTGAATCTTGGTAGCTAAGCATTGACAAAATTGTTTGTTTTTGGAGCATGCAGCGGGTGAAACTGGGGAAACTAGGAACAGAATCTTTGTGGAGATACATCAGGCACTTCAATCTAGTGGGTCTCACTGCAACACTTGCAATTTTATGCTTCTTTTTTTTTAAAAAAATTCTCTATATACTTGACTAAATCAACTGGATCCAATGGTTTCAAAACTTTAAATTCCAGGTGAATAGCATTTCAAATGCTTCAAGGGACCAAATCCTTCACGTTGTGCAACGACATTTTGCATTACAGGTTCTTTCTCTTTCTCTTTCTCTTTCTCTTTCTCTCTCTTTGCTGTTTGCATTTGAAATTATGAACTACTTTGTTTTGAGAAACATATCTGTCTATGTTCGTTTATTTGATACAGACGAGCTTGAACGAGGCATCGGTGATGACTGAATTCATTCGCACTGTTAAGAGACGAAGGGAGTGAGTCGAGTGACAGCGAGCGAGAGTGAATGATGATTGAAAAGTGATTTCACATAAATGTATGTTTGTATAGTGATTATGTCTGTTAAATGCTAACTATAACTTGTAGCTTCTAACTTCTAACACTCGACCTCGATTACTACCTAGACCAGTAATATATTTTTAGCTTCTTTCTCTGGATGAAATTTTAAATGCTTTTCTCAACTCGAACATAATTTCTTACCTTGATTTCAACCAATAAACAATGGATCCTGCTCCCTCTATATAGATGTGCTGAAAGCTTATTGGATTAAGTGTTGTGAGGAGTTTATGAAAGAAGAGCATGTTTACCGTAAAAACTATAATATTAATCCTTATGAAAGTTGGATCAAACCATATATAGACTATTTATAAAATTTTAAGTTTCATAAACTAAAAGAACTGAATGAAGGCAAGTTTATAAGAGAATTAGTTAAATTAGTCAACGAACTCCCCTTCCCTGCAAGTCCCCACATCAACACCCAACACTCCTTCCTTCTCCATCCCCACCACTCTGCAGCAATTCCTCCTTGGGGCCTAAGAACACCACCAAGAACATCGTTAAGATATGAACAATGATATTAGTTTAGCTTTTGAATTTAATACCGTAGAAATGAAAATGGAAGCAAATGGTGGTAGAAACAATACTCACAGAATCCCAAAGGCTGGGATTGGGCTTCTTAAACACCATGACCATATGAAGCTCAGCAGGATCAGGCATCTTCCACTTGCAAAAGGGATGAGCCACACGGTCTCTCATATACTCACTCACAGTAACCCCGGCAGAGGAGTTGAATGTGGCATTTGAAAAGTAGAAGATGAAGGGCTTCTGGCAGGGGTTTCTGGTAACAGGGCGTGTGTTGAATGCATAAGCAGTGTAATCCGCTTTTCGATACCAATTCAAGAACGTTCTCGAAGGCAATTCGATCTCTCGAGCCAAGAAAATGCCTCGGAATATTTGGACTGTGAAGCCCCAGGAAATGGAGATTGTCCACCCCTTGGCTCGGTTGTAGCAGATGGATTGCTGCACCAGGGCTGCCGAGTCTAGCTGCATTGGAACAATGAGGCGTTGGAGACCTTCGAGCCTTGTTGCGTCGGGGAAAATGGGCTCGACGATATCGAGGTGATGGAGGGATACTAATGGAGTTACTGGATGTGCTGCTAGTAGCCCGAATAGGTTGCCATAGACATCGCACTGATTTGGGGTTTTGGCAGATAACAGATCGTGTTAGTTGATCTATAAATTTTTAATTTTGTGTTTAACTAAACCTTTAATAGAAAAAAGAAAAACTTTATTATAATTTATTTTTTAATGAAATAAATGATGAAGGAATTATTTTGTTTTAGTTAAAAAGACCTCGTAATTTGAGACAGATGAGGTGGCATGCATTGATTATGTGGGTCCCAAGTAATCACTACGATTGACAATTGACAAGGCATTGTGCAACTCACCACCTCAAACATCCAAAATAAAACTACTTTCACACGCCACCTCACTGCCCTCTCAAGCTTACGCCACTTGCCACCGTGGCATCCCTGACCTCTCATGCTTACGCCACCTGCCACCGTGGCTTCAACATCCATTTCTTAGTCATGTTTATTTATGGAGGTGCTAATTAATATGTGACCCAAAATTAAAAAAGGCGAATATCTCATTAAAATGCGATTCTTTTGAGTATCTACCAAATCTTATAATTCAAAAACTTTCATTTTTTAAGAAATTAAGAAATTATTATTTTGGGATAAATTTTATGTTCAACTTTTATTTTTCTAATAGTAAATTATAAATTAAAAAAAACAAAAAACAAAAAACAAAAAATGGACCTTGTAATTTAGTACGCACCTGATGGAAGCCAAGTTCCTTAGAGAGAGGGACGCCGAGCTCCGCCATACAAGCCTGAATCCGATCGTCGGAGCCATAAAGCGTTGGATATCTCTCCAAACAACCGTCCAGCATCTTCTCCAACGCCTTCGCCAACGGATAACTGATCGCGAATCCTCCTCCGCCGTATGCCATTCCATACGACAGCTGAATGTTCTGCAAATGGCTCTCCGACGAGCTTCCGATGTAATAAAACCCCTTATGATCATATTTCCTCAGCACTCTCACCAAATTCTCCGTCACAAACACCGTGTCATCGTCCCCCATCACCACCCACCTCACATTCTCCACTCCTAGCCTCACCGTCTCCGCTACTATCCTCGCTATCCTTATCGCCGACCGCTTCCCCTGCCTATTCCGGTACGCGAATCCCGCCGTGTCCTCCGACACCATCACTGGCGGCAGCAATTCCGCCTCCTCTGCTTTTGTTCCCACCGGGTCGTCCATCCACACCACCCCCCTCATTTTTCTGGGGTCGAACCAGAGCTTTATGTACTCTTTCCTCTGCTCCCACAGCTTCGCCGATGACGCGATTCCAAACACAATGTCTTGGATTTCGGTCTCGGCGTGTGGTTTTAGTGGGAAATTTGGGAATGTTCGGTTTCTGACGAAGAAGGGTGGCGACGAAATTGATGAAATTTTGATGGATTCATCAGGGCAGGGCTCGTCGGAAGAGAGAAGCTTGAGGGTATAAACGATGTAAGTGACGGAGAGGAATAGGATGAGAAAGATTAAGAGCTTGGGGAGTGGTCGGAATGTAGGGGAGACGGCGGGTCCAAAGGGCGGAGGAGGCTTCTTCATGTGATTCCAAATGGGATTGTGCGAGTTTTTCACTTGGTAAATGAGAGAATATTAAGGAGGGGAAATTTGCAGAGTCTGCGTGCAGGGTGTCTCTGTTTTGTTGATACTGATTTTGGGATTGAGAGTACTAAGGGAAACGTGGACGGAAGTGGGAGAGGTAATGATTTATAATAAGACATGTCAAGTTTTTTGGTTTTGTTGGGACTCCAAAGTTTGGTATGTGATGCAAATTCTTGGCGTTTGGCGCATGTTGTTAGCGGTAAAACTTGAAAAAGCTCCGGAATTGGGAGGTGGGGGTTGGATTGGATTGGATCATAGATCAAAACTAACATTTTTAGTTTTCTTTCTTTTCTTTCAACTGTAATGTATGAGAGTCCTTCAAATACATTTGTTTATGGACTCGAATCATAATTTAATTGAAATTATTTATGTTAGAATATAACAACTACATGCTTCTTAATCCTTCCATAATCACTTCATTTGTTAACTTGCATGAGAGACCGACATGATTCAACTAAAAAGGATGGAAAATTAATATAATATAAATTTCCCTTGAAAGCTTGATGTATATTTTAATTTTAATTTAATGATCCAAAGACATGAACTAAGCTATGGGCTTTATTTTGTAGGCTACAAATATAAGCCCATAACAGCATGCTGTTTCTGGTTGTAAGGTCTATAAGCTCATGCATTTCATGGATATTGCATTTTCTAGAGTTCTATAATTGGGTTGGAAGAATATTCTTGAAGAGTTTTGGAGATTTTGTTTCTTCTGGATTTGATTCCAAATTTGTGAGCATCTATCACATATTTCCAAAAGTAGACATGCGTTCATAAAAATTAGTCTATACTCATAATATCATCTAATTATTGGAGGATTTAGTATAGAACAAATGAAAAAAAAAGACAAGGTTGGGACAGTCTCCTACCACTCAATTGTTTATTGTGTGTATGAGCACAAAAGGTTTAGACAGCGTTGGGACATTATCCTACCACTCAATTCTTTACTTCCATTGCTTCCAAATATAATGCTACCAAAACCCGATACAAAAACAAACACAATTTTCGAAAGCTAAATTTTGCATGAGACGAGTCTTGTTTAGAGATGTCCATGTTTCATGGCGAGGATACCGAAAGCTTCCTTACCCATTTTCATGCCTCATGTTTCAATTTCTGAATTTTTTTATTTATTTTTATGAGAATCAAGTTGTCGTCTTCTCAACCCCTCTCCCGTTTAGGGCAGATCCCTATGTAACTCCGAACTCAGGGTTAAACAAAAAATCAAATTTCCTATTCTAATTTCATCATGGAAGCATGTTAATCAATGGATTCACTGAACTTTAACACTATAAATCTCTCTAATTCTTATATAAGACTCATCGTATGTGGACAAAATAGAGAGAATCTTGAGTATCATTTAGGCATCTTACCTGCGAAAGTCGATAGTATTATAAAAACAAATGTCCTGTTGTTCACAAAACGCCATACATATCAACTAAAAGGAGGTGCATATTGATTCAAGATTTTGATATCTATTCCTTCTCCTCCAAGTTGAATCCATGATATTCAAGTTCAAACTTAGAAACGCTTATGTGAAAGAAGCTGTTTTTCAAGCACATTTATGAACCAAGAACCAAGGCCTTTGCTCCAAGATAACCCACAACAAATCAAACGATTCATAGAATACACTAACCCAATAATTAATGTTCTTCATCAAACAGATTGATCTTCAGCATTGTTTAATATGAATCTTTAAAGCAAGCACAAGCACAATGAATTGAAACACCCGAATTAAAGGAAAAGTGGAATTTCTTATACTTAACCACAAACATAATCAAACCACAAGTCGGCATGATGCTATTGAATACATAACATATTTGATAGAAGCAACAAAGTACACAAAAATAATTCAGGCTATGTGTTGGTTGAGATACATAATAATTGCACACAATTTATTAGAAATCCGCACACTAAAGCAAAGCATACATACCCTTTAGAGTTCCAATATAGTCAGCTACTGATGGAACACATAACCATTCACTTCACTTCACTTCACTTATCTCCAAACAGATACCCTAGCGATGAATCACCACCAGGAACAGATTTCACCTTGGTTGATGGCCGATCCTGACAATTTTCAAGAAATCATTTTTAAATCCCATAATTTGAATAAAGAACAAAGTAGAGAGGGGGTTTACCGTGATGAAGTTGCCCGAGTTTTGGCCATGAGCTCGGGGATAATTGTTGGAGGCAGCTTGTTTAGGAGAGGGGGAAGGGTTGTTTTGGTCATCAGGGTTGATATCAATTCCATAAGGAGGAGGAAGAACCACTTTTGAGACTTGAGGCTTTCTGGGTTCATCGTCGTTTCCAAAAAGATACCCCAACGAGCTTCTTCCCCCGCCATAGCTTCCACCTCTGCTCATGATCTGATCTAATCCTTTTCTGCACCAAAACCAAAATTGGCAACAACCAAACTTCAAA